CTCTACAGTAATTGTCGCGCGAAACGTTCAAGCGTAACGCCTTCAAACTACGAATAGGCCGGAGCTCAGGGGACTTCTTTAGTCTCGTTCCGCGTTTAATCCATGGAACTGATATCGCTAAACTCAAAAGTTCGCGGCCAGAATTTTACCCCCTGTTTTGTGACGTCACGTTTGCCCAGGGGGATAAAAATCCGCTACCCCTAACATTTTTGTCTCATTGTGCCAGGTTGGACTCCTTCCGGTTTCAGTTAAGTCTTGTATCCTAAAAAACATTTTCAGGTATTCATTAGGTTTTTAAAATTTAAACATATTTTATTTTAAAATATTTGAAACTACTTTTGTTTTTAAATATTAATGTGTAGTCACAGTTCATTATCTCAAATTAAGTTTGGAATTAAGTACAAAAACACACTGTGATTGGTTATTTTAATGATAACACCACTTGTATCTCAATTTTCTGATTACCTTATAGGTTCCTTATCTAATCATAAAGGTTTCAAATCTCCTCAAAACCCCATAAAATTACTGTCAATCAACAGTAAACCCTTAAGAGTAATTTGCAATCTTATATATTAAAAAATTTTGTTTTTCTTTTCCGAGTTCGTTTGACTCTTCTACCTGACCGATTTTGATGATCGAAATCTCAAATTGAAGATATGCACGCACAGATTTCACATCAAGCATTGGCATATATTTATCTATTGCATTACTTGACCAAAAATCATAAGTTTTATTATTTCTCGGATATGATATTCATTTTAACGCTTCGAAGCAGCATGGGCCCTCTAGTTCCTATTTAATTTAAATGTAACAGATTTAATTTAATTTAATTTGGTTTGGTGAATACACAAATTTGTTTGTTAATATTTTAAACACATGTTATTATTTATTAACAAATAATAGGAAACATTATCCTGATATCATCATTTTTGGAAATTCAAGCAAGGTTCTAGATCATAAATGTGACTTTTTGGGGTAAATTTAAAAAAATTGCTATGTTGGTAAGCTCAAATCAACATTTGTGTGAAGCAATACTAACTTAGATTGAAAAGCTAGATTTGGCTTTGCAAAGATATTGCCAATATTCTGCAAACAAAAAACATTTTTAAGGAAATATTGAAGTAAAAAAAATAGAAAAATGCAAATTAGCTTAGTCTGCAGGTTTGCTGTTTTTTTTTTGTAACTAATCGAATAAATAATCAAAGTTATTAAAATATTTTTAGAATTATTTAAAATAATGAATTCAGTATATTTTTTCCAAGTGCAAGTTGAAAAGCCTAATGTTATTGATAAAAAAAAACAACAACAACGTTCTCAGAAGTATTGGCTGAAACTATAATAGTATTTGACTTAGAAAACATTGAAGTTTAATATACAAATAATTGTAATAAAATCTAAAATAACATTTTTGACCTTTACATAAATGTTTTTAAACCGATCATAAGTTTTCCTCCACAAACTGAAGTCCAACAGAACTCAAATGAACAATTACAATTCAAAATTATATTACAAATTAGTAAAAAAGCATACCTTGTGTTTGAAAGGATGTAGGTCCAGTGATGGAGGAGACTAACACATTGGGCCTACAATCATCTGTGGCCTTGGTGCAGGGGCGTCGCCTTGTGGTGGGGGAATGGGGGGGGGTAGGGGGGAGCCTCCCCCCCCCTAGAATCTGGGAAAGAGAAAAGTTGGGAATTTCCTTGCCACGAGTTGGGACAGTTGGGAAGTCAGATACAAGAAAAATATATTTTTAAACTAAATAAAATTTAAATATTAGCAAAAATCCATCAAAGATAAAAATTTCTTTCACTTGGACAAATAAACTTGACGCTTCTTTTATTTAATTTAACTTTGATTAAACAAGGCTAAACCATGGCTAAACACGCCTTATTTTAAGAAATCAATAATCAATTAGCGGTATAGCTTGTTGGAATTTCGTTTACGAGAAATTTTGTTCCTTATTGGACGTATGTGGACTACCTTGATCCTGTCCTGTGTTGATGATTCTGAATGATTCGTCTGCGAGACTGCGAGTTTGAATTTTGAAAGTGCAAGCAATGTAGCTCTTCTGTTCAATTATGTTGTTTGTTAGTGTTTACAAGAAATTCTAAAATATTTTTCACGTCAGTCTAATGAAATATATTTTATACCTTTTTCGTGGCATTTGGAGCAGGCTAACTGACTCCGTACTTGCTAATACGCAGATTAAAATAACATTAAAGATAGGTTTTGTGTATCGGTATTACCTCTAAAACTCTTATTTTTATAATAACCTAAATGGAATATGTATTCTCTGAATATATTTAAAAAATCTACACAAGTTATTTCTCATTCCTAATTAAGGATTTACAAATGAATCAACTAATCACTCTGAAACAGATCTACATGGGCAAAACATAACCTAAAATTTGATGTTTGACTTTCACTCTCTCTAAGTTTGATTTTTGTCTAAGTTCTAGTTTCATGAAGATGAAGGTTAACATTTTTATTGTATGTATAAGTTTATTATCAACCAAGTTGAACGTTTTTATTTTATACGAGTCTTATTTTAGGTTTATTCTTTTCTATAGGCTAGAATAATATTATTCACAACACTGATATTTCATCCTAATATTTCATCATTACAAACTTGTTTAGGCCTACCCTAGTTGTAAAATTTATGAAAGTTAAAATGTTGATCTTAACTTCTAAAAGTATTTTAATTTCATTATTTTTTTATACAATATTTTTTCTATACTAATTTGTACTCAGAGGCTTATTTTATACCCCTAAAATTTTACACTGCTACGTCTGCTACCACAATGGTTTGCAAATTTTTTTGATTTGAAACATTACTTGTTCAAGTCATAAAATTTCATTATGAATTGGTAAATGTTTTAGAAATTGAGTAATTTTGTATATATGTAAAACTAATATAAACTATAATATATATAACTATATATATAATTATATAAATACTGAATTGAATGTTACTGCAGTGTAGTATAATAATTTGTAGATTTTTAAAAATAGTACAGAAATTGATTAAACAAAAAAAAATAGTTGGGAAATCTATGTTAAGCAGTTGGGAAATTTGAGGCTTCACCCCCCCCCCTGGAATTTAACCAAGCAACGCCACTGCCTTGGTGTAGTGGGAACCTTGCAGTAAATAGTGTCAATCTAATAACCACTTATAACCATGATATCACCACTACACTGAAACATCCTGACACTTCAAAGCTAATGGAGTTATTTATATTGCTATCATAATAACAAATAATAAGATATTCCTCGTTCTAGACAATCAAGTTATTTTGACTTTAGGAAATAGTCATCAGAATAATTTTGAAAGTAGAATACAATGAAACAAATCAAATACCTACAGAGGATTAAAGTTTTTTTAACGGTGAAAGTGCAGCATTTTTTAATACAATTATTGAACAAATCTAGTCATTTTAGAACAATTACCCATACACCACTAAGCATAAAACAACTTTACCTAATAGAAACACAAATTTATATGCTATAGAAAAGTAATCCGATGATTAAAATTTCTTAAGTACTTAACCTTGCAACAGTAGACATGAAGAAAACTAAAAAAAATTTAATTGACAGATTATTTGGTAGAGAAATGAATATTCAGACACCTTTAGAATTAACACAGGACTAAGACAAGGCGATGCACTATCCCCATTATTATTTAATCTAGTCATTGAAGAAGCGCTGAGATAGGTGAGCAGTCTTCAGGGAGGTGCAAAGATTAGCGGGAAGACAAAGGTTCTAGCATTTGCAGACAATGTGGCACTTATAGCAGAAAATAAAAATTATATTAAGGAGCTAGCAGAAAAGCTAATCACTGAAACACAAAAAGTGGGACTAAAAATAAATTAAGAGAAAACTAAGATAATGAAGATAAGTAGACTACCTGATAACCAACCATACTTGGAAGTCTTAAATTTTAAATTCACAAAAACTGACAATTTTAAATATCTGGGAGTGACAATAACAAGTGAAAGCAGACAAGACGACGAAATACAATGTAGATTAGCAGCAGCTCAACTGTGCTATTGGAGTCTAACAATACTATTTAGAAGTAGACTCCTAAACAGAAGAACTAAAATAAAGATGTATAAAGTAATAATACAACCAGTTCTACTATATGGGTCTGGACGCTTACAAAGCAAAATGAAAAGAAATTGATAGTTTTTTAAAATAAAATCTTACGTAGAGTGTTTGGAACTATTAATGACAATGGTGAATGGCGGATAAGGAAAAACCAAGAATTAAGAGAACTTTATAATGACCCAGATATGGTAAAGAGCAGAAGATTACGATGGCTGGGACATGTATATAGAAGAGATGTTAACAGTATGATTAAGAAGGTATGGATGGGGCAACCAGAAGGACGACAGCCGCTGGGACGGCCCAGATTAAGATGGAATGACCAAGTGAGGCAGGACCTCAGGAGGTTAGGAGCAAGTTTGTAGGCAGCGGTGGAGGAGCATTGTTGGGGAGGCCAAAAATCACTTGGGATTTGTGTGGCCACAGGAGTAGAGTAGTAGTAGTAGGGAGTATCGCATCCACTGTGCATGCCTATAAATATCCACAATTCGTATATTGTGGCAGATTACCAAGGTTAGATTTTACGGTGTCGAAACTCCAGGGTCTGCATTTTACAGCAAAATATATTGAAAGGTGAGCGTTGGATAATAAAAATGATAACTTTGTTATTAAATTTGTCATGAATTTTTTTAATGGAACTAGACGCCCTGTGATGAACAGATAGATTCTGTCTGTCTTTAAAGTTCTCAAAATTTCTATAACATTTACATTTCACATTACTTATAAAAACAACTGATAAAAAACATAGTTTTAGGTGGATTTAAAGAATAAGGAAATAATTTAATAGTTTTGTTCTATTTTATTTTGTTTCTACGCCAGGGGAGTTTTCCAATTTTTTCTAAGGTAATGGTCCAAACCCTGGTTTTGATACTATCTGTACTGTCCGTCAACAAATCAAATCAAATCAAATCATATCATTTATTTGTCTTTTGGATTTTTACAAATCATTGACAAAGTCAACACATCAGCCTATGTATAGGCCTACGTCATATACATACATACTACACATCTACAATAGTATAGGATTAAGTATCTAGAGAATGTAAAAATTAAAATGATAAATTAACTTAACTTTTTTTCTTTTACGCTATCTATTAATAAAACATAAAAACATTTGAGAGCTTAGTAAATTTCTTAAAATGAAGGGAAAAAAGAAAAAAAATAATGAAATAATATTAATTAGGAATAGTTAAATTCCAACAACAGTAATTAAATAAAAAAAAAATTTGTTCAAGTTTTTTTTGTCAAGCAATCAAAGAAGTTAGACAAATTTGTGTAAGAAACTAAATTTTTTTAAATACCTCTAAAAATCTCATGTAAAATACAATATAATAATATTAAAAGATAATAGTAATAACATAAATAATAATAATAAAATAAAATAAAATAAGTGCAAAGATTACATTATGTTAAAATTTGATTTCACAAATTTTTAAAAAGTCATCTAATGTATAAAATGGGTTATCTAGTAACCAATTATAGAGTTTGTTTTTAAATTGATTTATTGAATATTTTCTAATCATAGGCTCAAAGATATTGTAAATTTTTAAAGATATCACCACATGGCTATCCAACGATTTAGTTAAGCGACAATATTGAATCACTGCTTTAGTTTTGTTTCGGTTATTATAATTATGAATTTTGTCTTTGAATTTTAATAGATGAGAGTTTTTTAATATATAAACTGCGATTTCAAAAATATATAAGTCTATGACGGTTAAAATCTGAAGCTGCCTAAAAAGTGGTTTGCAATGTTCCCTAAAATGTACTCCAGCCATAATTCTAATCACCTTCTTTTGGAGCAGTAAAATGTCCTGAATTCCTGAGCAGTTTCCCTACAGTATTAAACCGTATCGAATGATAGATTCAAAAAAGGAAAAGTACGCACTTCTGATGTAATTTTTAGGAATAATGTTTATAAGGCGTCTCATAAGATATATTACTCTTGATAGTCTCGTACTAATGTAATCTATATGTGAGCTCCAAGTTAAATGATTGTCTAAATAAATACCTAGGAATTTAGCATTTGTGACTAAATCAAGATTAAAATTATTTGGGTTGTTTTTTAAACTAAAAAGCAAATTTTGTGTTTTATCTGTGTTGAGCCAAAGTCGCAATGTTCCCAGTTTCCCTCTTCTTCTCCCACTTCTCTCCTCCACTTCTCCCAGTTTCCAACCAGTTGTTACTGAAGTAAGTCTATACAAGGGAAACACATACATTCAATAGAGCTTTTCCTTCTATCAGTAAACATAAAACATAAAATTTAATTTTCTATGTTTCTTTTCCTAACCTGAAATTTGCAGATAGTCACCCAAAGCTATAGTTTTGAACATTGCATGTAGTATTTGACAAAGGGTCAAATAGTCAAGGCAGAAAAATAAAACACATCATTGGCATTTGCATGTGAGTGTTCTGAATAGATAAGGTTCTATTCTATACTTAACTTTCCAGGAGGAAATAAATTTGAAATTACTGTACCCCTTATATGGATTCTTTTTGAAAATTCATGTTAAATTGATACTGTGAGCCTTATTACATATTTAGTTGCAAAAAAAATGTTCGTGTGTACTTGATATGATCAGCTTTATTTTATATACATACAAGCTGCTATACCCGTGCTTTGCAACGGGAAGAAAATGTGACCTAGAGAGCTATTAAAGCAATCCTGATGTGTGTTTTAAAATACGGCAACTTTATGATTTAGTTTGAAAATATAAACTCTGATTCAAAAGTGTAAACCTGCTTACTTTCAAACCCCTACTTTTTTATGTTAATAGATCCAAAAGAATATGACAACATAACATACCTTAGTGTAGCAATAACATAAATTATTTCATATTGATGCTTCACGAATTACATGTTTTACCATAATTCTTCAACTTTAGTCAAGCCTCTTTACATTTAGCTTACTATATAAATTACAAAATGAAACTTTGCGCAATTCTATACAAAACGTATACAAACTTTCTTTAAAACCAAACATAACCCTCCTAAATCTACATAAAGCTTCACAAACATCTTTTTCGAGTAAATAAACAAACACCATTCATTGTACTGACCAGCTGTTTCATTAACTAAATTAAATTAAATCATGTAAACTTAGGAAGCATGGCAGGCGTAGCCCTTTGGAAATCAGCCTGTGGGGTAGAGCCCTTAGGAAATTCGTCCATATCAATACTTTTCGGCAAATCTACACACTCTAAGCTTCATTTGTATGTGTCATATGCCTATATTTTTATTTGGTAAATGGCCTTAACCGTTTACATAAAATTTCATTGTATCACTTTAATAATATAATAGATTTTTACTTGTGAGTCATCATTGAATAAAATAATCCACCTAATATTATAAATGAGAAAGTTTGGATGTATGTATGGATGGATGGATGTATGGATGTATAGATGTATGTTTGTGACAAGTGAACGCAAAAAATACTGGTCGGATTGGGCTGAAATTTGGCATGATGATAGCTCACATTCCCGATTAACATATAGGCATATTCTTATTTCAAAAATCCTTTCGGGCTCCGCCCCAGTGGCTCTGGAGTTTCCCATGTTAACCTTATGAGAAATGAAATTATTGAATCTTAACAGCTGTTTCAATTAAACAAGTTGGTTCTGTTCTGTGATGTTCAATAGCATTAAAGTTACAAAAATTACCAACAGGGTGCAGCACTATTGTTTCTTTTACATTTATGACAACAGCTAATTTGCAACCAAAAGGTGAGTGAGCGTAGCGAACGAACTGTAGCGAACAAACTTCAACCAGGACGTGATTGAGCCATGCGAACGAGATAATCTTGAAAATTAAGAAGTTAAACGGGGCAAAGACCGCGGGTTACAGCTAGTAACACAATATAATTGTTAGTAAAAAACATGATTTTAAAATATGTGACAAATTTTAAGGTTGATTAATTAATGATATCATTATCTACAACTTATTTACATTTTACAACAAATATTTTTTTAGTTTTATGTTGCCAAGATGCTGTTTATAAAAAAAATGTAGCCTTTTTAATACTAATTTCCTCTCAACAACATATCTGTGCAAAGAGCTAGAACATTAACCTTTAGAGCAACGTTTAATGTAAGGTCTGGTAAATTTGTTGGATGATTTTTGGTACTTTGGCTTTGTAATATTTTCCATTGTATAATCTCAGTAAATTTGGGTCCATAGCACCACTGTTACTCATGTTTGCAAACTCTTTCATGTCGAATTCAGCCATGTCAAGAGCATCCTTTTCTTCAGCGAATGTCATGGGCAGAGTTTGACATGCGATTACAAGAGCAAAGTCAACCGAATTCTTTAAATCTTGCCATAACTCTTCAGAAGTGTACCTCTCTTCACATCCTAGTAGTTGTAGACATTCGTTGAGTTCTTGTAGGTAAATGTCGTACAACTCTTGTAGTCTGTTTTCCCGCACTTCTTCGTCTGCACTGGTCCAGATGAAGTACAGAATGTCGATGGCCGGGCTCGTGTATCGTAATACTTGAAAGTCAATGAACTTTACTTCCTCCACTTCTCCTGACTCTGAGTGTTTGAACATTATATTGTTGTTCCACAAATCTCCATGGTTCATAACATTCAAACCTTCTTTTTTGGGTTTAACAATTTCTATCAAGGAATTGTACAGTGTTTCTTGCTTGCCAAGCAAAAACTGTAAGGCAGGTTCACCATTCTCTGTATTTTTCAAGCTTTCTTTGATAATTTCTATCGCAAACACCAAAAGTGACTCCATCAATTTTTGCATGGGATTACCTTCCCTAAATATCGGCTCTATTCCGAGTGTTTCGATTTCTTCAGGATTTTCACTGTGAAGAGCGACTGAAACGGCATGGAACTTCGCTAAATTTTTCAACACTACCTCACAATGAGTGTAATCCAATTGTTTAAATTTATCACACATGATGTGCCCTGTTTCTTTCAGATCCTGAAATACCAACACGCTTTTTTGTGCACTGAAATATGTTTTAGGGCCAAAGTCGACTTTTATCTTTTCTTTCATTTTTGGCAAAATAATGTTGTATAGTACAGGTTCTTTCTTGAACCATTCACCTAGTCCAAGTTCTGCTCCCATGTCTTGCATCTGAGTATGAGGTGCCTTAACAATAAGAGTTGTGGATTTATCTTCTGATCCATTTGCTGTGTATTTCACGACCACCCTGAAGATTTGGCTTGTGTAGTTGTTACCGGCCGCTACCGCTAGTTCTGCAGTAAAATCATTAACTGTCACTTTGGGCTCGTTATCTTCTCCTCCTTGAAGAGCAGCTTGTAGGAATGTCTTGTCCAACCACTCTGGCAGCTTTTGTGTCATTCTGGCTGAAAAGGATAAAACTTAAGTGGTGCATTTGTTAAATCAGGCTACATGAAGGTGAATTAAAGAATTCTCAAAACATGTAGGTAAAGTATTAAACCAGAATTGTTATAAATCTTTTATAATTCCATAACAATTGCTGTATCAACCTAGGCTCTGCTCCTAAGTTTTCAAAGTTAAGCTTGTGAAATTATCTTATTGGTCGATGTTCATGGAAACCGAGGTATGATTACAAGTTTTTTTTTTTAATTATTTCAATAACTTTATGGATACAGTTTTGTTTGACCTAAAGATATAGACTCTTCTCTTTTACAAAGAGATACGTTTGCGATAGCTAATTTGTAATCTTAATTTTAAATCACTTCAATGAATTATGAGGATTTTAACATAGCAGTAGCTGCTACTTATCCTTTCTTCTATAATTGACTTCATTACTGTCCTTGAAAAACAAGGGTAAATCACTCTTGTTTAGAAGCAAAGTTACCAGCGAAGCTTTTAATTTGAATTTAAAATCAAATACATAAACAGAGTATACCATAAATTTGATTTGACTAAAACGCAAGGGTAGTGTTCATAGGTCATACAAATATAATATCCACATAATGTGATAAATAATCTTTGCTCAGATCAAGTTGATTGTATGTAAAAAAAAAATTGGAAAGTTAAACATCCTTTGAATTCCTTTACAATAACTTTTTTAAAGTGTGTGGCCAAATTAGCTAGCGTAAAAAGAGTAGATTATCTCTTTCTAAAGATAGGAATGTACTACTTCAATTTTGAATTGGCTATCAACAGCTACCATACACTACTGTTAAACATGCTCTGCACTGTTTATAACTATTAGTACCTGGGGACCGAGCTTTGCTCAGGAAACTAAACATTAAAGAATAAATAATAATAAATTTAAGCTTTAATTTAAAATACCTTATGTTACACGCTTTCATAGAACAAATTGTCCTAATAACAACACCATTATGGTGTATATGGCATAATTAATGAAAATATTGATTGACATCAAATCAAGAGTTAAGTATTTATTTTATCTATACAAAAGACACTTTAGGGTTGGATAATGAGTAGTTTTAACTTGTTTTGCAGCCCTTGATTGTGGTTTCCATTGACAAATATTTCCTGTATATTTAGTTTTTGTTTTGGCTTGGTTTAGTTGTATTACTTAGGCCTATTCACACAAAAATGTGGATAGCCTAGCCTAGTTTAGGAGAAAAACCATTGACACTTAAAGTCATCACACTCTTGTGTATGCCTACAGATAATATAGGCTATAATGCTTAAGGATAGATAGCTTCCAGAGCAAATTCAAGTTTTGACGTTTGTCGTTTTGTAACATTTGTCGACATACGACACGCTGCAACACAAACATTTTAAAACTTTTTAGGCAGTTTAGGAGAAAAATCCCTATACACTTTTCAAAATCATCACAGTCTTGGGTACAGATAACATAGGCTACAATGCTTAAAATACAATAGATAGCCTCCACTCTGCAGAGAAATTTCGAGCTGGTGACATTCGTCGGTTTGCAACATTTTATGACATGCGACGCATGCTTTAACTTGGGATATGTTATATCATATTAATTTGCCAAACTTAGCTCAGTGATACAGAACTTAGTTATTCCGTAAATATAAACGTTTTTGTTAGGGCCGATTCCCAGATCGAGTTGACAATTATTCAAACTTTACTCGTATTATATATAGGATAGGATAAACATTCTGTTAATGTTGTTTTACAAAAAAATATAACCACACAATCCTACAGATTTGAGAGTTGTCAAGTTAGGAATAGGTAAATGAAGATCTTCAATTTAATTTTTACTACAGTTACCTGACAAAGTGGGCTTCTTTGCACTGATTTAGGCTATAGCACGCAAACTAGCTAATTACTGCATTTACTCACTTTTGCCGCACTCTTTTTCTTTTCCGCACTCCTGTGTTTTATTTTAATCAAACAACACAAAACAGTGTTCTTTTATTGGATTTAACCTAACCTAAAAAAGTTTTGTATAGTGTTTGAAAGACTACTTATTTATATGGTTTATAGTAACTGTAGGAAAAATATAATGTGTATCGCAAGTGCAAAGTCCCTATGCTGCACTCGAAAACTTTCCATGTGCAGCAAAGTGCCACTTTGCACACTAGTTGCACAAATAACTATTGCACGTCAGTTCTCCATCATCAGATTTGAGTTTGGCCATGCCAGTTAACACTGACTATAGATGTACTTGTCTGCCACTCAACTGCTAGTTGCTGGGGACCTTAAATCTAATCATAACTTTGTGACTGATAGCAGGCTTGTTTTTGTTTTCTTTCTTAATCAACTTCTAAGAACTCATAATAATGCTATCTTGTCTTAATCAGGTTTGAACACTTTGTGAATTGTTGTTATTATAAAGGTTTTATTTATGCTTTTGATGATATGTTGATAAGGGTGTAATGTATTAATATATGCAATATATATATATATATATTATATATTATGTTTGTAATTACTTAGCCAACAACAATTTTCTTCTAAATGTAAAAAAATCATTCAAATATTTTATTGTTACATTTTTGTTAATTATATTCTTCTCCACACAACTTCTTAAATGTAAAACCCTATAACACCCCGTTTTCATTACCCTGACTGCTGGCCTGCAAACTCAATCAAGTTCATCCAGCTCTACATATTCATGTCAAACTTTTATCAAAATTGGACAAAAATTACTCTGTATAAATACATACAGGACAAATTTGACCAATAATTCGTGTTTTTGGTCTCTAGGGACACAAAAAAAGTAAAACAATCCCAGGTCTAGGTCTTTCTGTGCAACCAACAGTAATCGCATCTCCCTTGTAGGGAAATTCACTAAAACCTTAAACTTTACACAAACATTACTATTAGAATAGTTCACTGTCACCAACAGCACTTTTACAAAGGAAAGTTCAATTTGGAAAAAATAATATCTTTAGGTCCAATAATTGTGGTCAGGAAGTTTTTATTTTTGTGAATAGGCCTAGTGTAATATTTGGGTTGCCGGAATTTTATCCCCCTGGAATTTTACCCCCTGGGCAAAGTTGACGTCACTATGACGTAGTAACCTGAACGTTTGAAAGTTTGTTCGCGGCCAGAATTTTACCCCCGCAGATTTGGAGGTCTAACAAAAATAGACAGAGTGTGATTAATTAGATTAGCAATAAAAACCGGAATTTTACCCCCTGTCCATATAACTAGCGTTTAGACAACTGAAGATGTACGGGCTGGATTTTTACCCCCGGATTTTTACCCCCTGGAATTTTACCCCCTGGCCAGATATAGAAATTATTAAGAATGATTGATTTTCCTATTTCTGTTTTTATTTAATTGTTAACATTTTATTATTAAGTAGCCTATATCTTTATTTATTTATTTTGTAATCTCTTCTAACTAAACAAAATTCGCTGTTTAATTTTGATATTCGGAATTTGCGTTTGATTTACGTCTTTATTTGATGTGTTCTGATTAAATTCACAACCATGAAAATATACATTTACTGTCCGCAAGAGTAAAGAAGTCCCTTGAGCCAGAGCGATACGCAGCTATGTTTGGAGGGTATCGCGCACTATTTGCAGGCGCTAAGCATCTGGGTGCCTCGCCTCGATGTCTGTCTGTAAACAACTGTTGTAAACATAATTACTCATATCTTTGTTTTGGTAAGTGGATTATCATCATGTGGTCACGTCATTCGATTCATTGCAGTCTCTTGTGTTCGCGTAGTGAGTTTGTTTTGTTTTGGACGGTCCTTGTAACTATGGATTTAAGAAAACGTCATGCTACTATACATAGTGGAGAGAGGGATTTAATAATTAGACGGGTGATCAAGAGTTGTGACAACGAATGTAAAGACAAAAATTTATTAGTGCCGATAGAAACGGCAACAGAACGTGCCGCAAACTATTGTAAAGTTCCAGAAAAAAACTATTAAACGAATTAGAAAAGCCGGCAAACAAACTCCCGATGAAAAACTCTGTACACCCGGGAAAAAACGCAAGAAGGCTGACCACCATAAATTACAAATAGATAGCTTTGATAGGCGTGTAATTGTAGATGTAATACGTGATTTTTACAAGAACAAAATAATTGTCCCTACATTTAAAAAACTATTACCTGTTTTGAGAGAAAGAATTAATTTTAAATGGAGCGAATGGGCACTTCGGCGTCTCTTAAAAGATATGGGGTTCAAGTGGAAGAAATTTGGTCCTAAAAGAAAATGTTTGATTGAAAGGTCTGACATCGTTAATTGGAGGTATAAGTATTTGCGAGAGATAAGAAAGCTAAATGAACAAAAAGGAAAATTTTCTATCTAGACGAAACTTGGATGGACAGTAATTTAACGTTCCAGAAATGTTGGAAAAGTATAGACGTCAATGGCGTGTTACCTGATGTGAACGCGTCAAACCGTGTGATTGTTGTAGACATTGGGTCAAACGAAGGGTTTTTGCTTGTTTTTGTGTTTTCTTGATTCTTGATTTTGCTTAGGTTTATGGTAATAGGATTAATAACTTTAATAATGAGTTGTTTATTGCGATGCATGCTATTGAAACTGCTGTACTCAGTGTATAATGCTTTCAAACTCAGATTAATAATTATTTAAAAAGGATTTTATTGTATTGTATTTTATTGGTATTTTTATATTTAACTAAACAAAAATCATATAGTAGAAAGGTTATTAATATGCCTTAGTAACACTAGAAAATGGGTTTCCTTCGATTGTATGACTATGCAAAAAAATATTATGACATAGATTTATAAAAATCATACAGATATTAAATACAAAAATTAAGCCTTAAAACTAGCAGAGCAGCGTCAAGACGGCTCTACAGTAATTGTCGCGCGAAACGTTCAAGCGTAACGCCTTCAAACTACGAATAGGCCGGAGCTCAGGGGACTTCTTTAGTCTCGCGGACAGTAATTCCGCGTTTAATCCATGGAACTGATATCGCTAAACTCAAAAGTTCGCGGCCAGAATTTTACCCCCTGTTTTGTGACGTCACGTTTGCCCAGGGGGTTGAATTCCAGGGGGATAAAAATCCGCTACCCCTAACATTTTTGCCTCATTGTGCCAGGCCAACTCCTTCCAGTTTCAGTTAAGTCTTGTATCCTAAAAAACATTTTCAGGTATTCATTAGGTTTTTAAAATTTAAACATATTTTATTTTAAAATATTTGAAACTACTTTTGTTTTTAAATATTAATGTGTAGTCACAGTTCATTATCTCAAATTAAGTTTGGAATTAAGTACAAAAACACACTGTGATTGGTTATTTTAATGATAACACCACTTGTATCTCAATTTTCTGATTACCTTATAGGTTCCTTATCTAATCATAAAGGTTTCAAATCTCCTCAAAACCCCATAAAATTACTGTCAATCAACAGTAAAACCTTAAGAGTAATTTGCAATCTTATATATTAAAAAATTTTGTTTTTCTTTTCCGAGTTCGTTTGACTCTTCTACCTGACCGATTTTGATGATCGAAATCTCAAATTGAAGATATGCACGCACAGATTTCACATCAAGCATTGGCATATATTTATCTATTGCATTACTTGACCAAAAATCATAAGTTTTATTATTTCTCAGATATGATATTCATTTTAACGATTCGAAGCAGCATGGGCCCTCTAGTTCCTATTTAATTTAAATGTAACAGATTTAATTTAATTTAATTTTGTTTGATGAATACACAAATTTGTTTGTTAATATTTTAAACACATGTTATTATTTATTAACAAATAATAGGAAACATTATCCTGATATCATCATTTTTGGAAATTCAAGCAAGGTTCTAGATCATAAATGTGACTTTTTGGGGTAAATTTAAGTGAAAAATTGCTATGTTGGTAAGCTCAAATCAACATTTGTGTGAAGCAATACTAACTTAGATTAAAAAGCTAGATTTGGCTTTGCAAAGATATTGCCAATATTCTGCAAATCATGATTCACTTTTATTTTTATAATTTTTAAAAGAATTTACCCAGACCACATACCCACATTACAAAGTTCTAAATGACAACTAGTACCATATCCTCAATTATTTAGAAACAGCTATAGTGATATAGGAGTAGAAGTATCCCAATTTTCCAGGCTATTCAGACTCTAGTCATCCAAGGTCAATGAGGATGTGTATGTTTATCCTCATATTGCCTCATTGCTCATTGGATAACGGCCAGCTACTCAAGGCCATCGACTAGTTCTCTAATTTTAGTATCTCACAGAGGATTGTAGTCTCAAACAATATATTAAGAATTAGTAATATATGACATATATGGAAATATTGAAAATGAATTAATATGTGCTGATGTTGTGATTTAGTAGTAATCACTCTTTAGGTTCATCAAATTAGTATGGTTATTTACTTAAATGCAATTGTATTTTTTGTGGGTTTCCCATTAAGGGAATATACTGTTACCGTATGTCCCATACCAAGCCCTACACCCGGGACTGATCTACTTTTCATTTTGATGTCTCAAGGGGCCAAACATCCGTCCAAATGTATATTCATTCATATATTATATATACAGTATATATATTATTAACAAATAATACACCATAGTACCCTTTTTTAAAATTATTTATTTATTTAAAAAAAAGGGTACTATGGTGTATTATCTATTAATATTACATTACAGTAGCCCTACACATGAACAATATCAAATATAATATATATATGTATGTATGTATATATATATATATATATATACATATTGTATGTGTGTCCGTTAGAACAAAAACTACTGTTAAAATCATCCGATTTCGTGAACCAGCATGATCGTACTATGTGTATGGGGTTTTATGGGGTAAAAATTGGTTTTCCTGTTTTTGACTTTTAAAGTATGAAATTTCGCAATGTCACTCATAACTATTTTGTAGAGCTGCTAACACATATAATGAAGTATCTTAAAGCATTGTTGTAGGCTTAATGGTTATGGAGAAAATTCCATAAAACTGCACATTTACAATTCCCATGTTATTCTTATGGAAAGTAAGTAAACTGTTGTAGCTTGCTTGTTATTGTGCGTTGCTTGTTGTTTAAGTAAAAAAAAAAATAGAAAAATGTA